ATTTGGATTATTTTATCCATTGATGAATATACAATTGCAAACAAAATATTTTTTTCAGAAAAAAGAAGAAGAAGAAGATGATAATACTTTGTCAATTACACCGATCAAGTTATCTTGATAGATAGATTTTGTCATTATAATTGATAAAGTTGAGTGACTTAACTATTTTATTTTATTTATAATGAATAAAGTATAGTTACTGTAAATGTGAAACAAAATAGTTTTATGGCTTTATCATTATAGTGAGTATAATTGTTGTTGTAGGTAAGTTCTGTTAATACGTGATATGTGCCAAGAAAGTTGTTTAATTAACTATACTATCATGTTGAATAAAGTTCAATAAACATATATGAAAGTAGGGGTGTATAGGCCAGGTTAGTTGATTTTTTTTAAATATCACACTAAATCAATTATGTTAGGTTTTAAAATTTATAAACCAAATTAATAAAGTCGGATTTTTCAATTTTGGATTTTTAAACTTTTTTCCGTAAAATCTTAAATAAACATATAATTAACTTGTATACAATTATCTTAGGCTTTTTTATAAAGAAAAATAACATAAAACGGGAGACGAGTTATGACAAAAAAAATATAATAAAATGACATAAACTAAGTTATACTGAAAATCATCATAATCTAAAAGTATTAAAACATGTTGAAATTAATCAGTATGAATAATAAGTATTAATTACATGACTAAGGCCTTATTTGTTTTCATTAAGATTAAGACCTCTGAATCTAAATACACGTCTGAACATTAAGATTTGCATTAAGAGCTAGGTGTCTAGATTTGAATACACTTCTGAATATTAAGATGTGGTCTCCAAATCTGAACACTGAATGATTATTGTTTGTTTTCAATAGCTGAATGTGCATATGAAATCAAACATTATATTAATAAAGTATTATAAAAAATTCATTTCAACAAAAAATATTAATTTTTTATTAAAAAACTATCATAATCATCAAGCAAAAAAATCACAAATAAAAAATATTTTATAGGCACAATATAATATCAAAAAGTTCAATAAGTATGATAAATACTAGTTGAAAAATAATAAATAACGTATCACATTATCAGCGCCTAACATATATTTTGGCTAATTAGAAAAACTAAAAAATTCATATTTTTTTTCGATAACCTTAATCCAATTCTCTAAGTTGTGAACCTCTAACGTCATTTTTGTAGTGGACACCTTCACAAAATATATTGACACATGTATTGTATAATGACTCTTCCCATCCAAGTCCATCTAATTTTTTCATATATTCTTCAAATGTAGGTACACTATTTTTTTAATCATCTTCTCATCAATTTCCAATTCAGACGAATACGTTTTTTTTTCTTTTCCAAAACTTTTTTCCAGTTGAAACTGAAGATTGGGATGGAGAATTATTAAGAGCTCCATTATTTTGGTCACCAACTAGTTCAACAACAATAATATATTAGTGTTATCTCACAAACGGATTTGATGATCAAAGAGTCTTAATAAAATTATTGGCCTAAGACAAAATTCTAATAAGAGACCTCAAATATGTATACATAGTTATTATTTTTTAATTATGAATAGCATTTGTTTCACTCAAAAACCTTGATGAACATCAATACACTAAAAATATTATTGCAACTAGTGTTCTTGACAAACATCAATACACCCTAAGAAAATTATTAATATAAAAAAAATACTTGTAAAGACTATTGAAACTTAATAGTTCAAGAGGAAAAAAATAGTGTTTGATTGAGAAAAGAGAAGAAGAAAGTTTGTAGTTGTAAGAGCAAAGTCACGCAAAGACTGAGAGAGGCGATTCAATATTATTTTATAACTTATTAAATAAGTTTGAATGGTGTTAAGACTCTCTTGCAGATCTAATCCGTTCAGACCTTTTTAGGGTCCATTAAGAGGCCTTTTGAAAAAAGAAACAAATAGACTTAATGGACTGAATCTGAATCATTCAAATTCAGACCTAAAAACCAAACACACTTAATGAACTGAATCTGAATGATTAAGATTCAGACCTCCATTAAGTGCAAACAAATGAGGCCTAAATATTAAAGGGAAAAAATTAAGCTATGTATTTTAGTTATCTAAATCAATGGAAAATTAAAGAAAGAGATATTGAGCAGTATTGTTATTCCTAATGTAAATTGAATTTCTTTTGTTAGCATTGGTATCGATTAGGTTTTGGTTTGGACTCTATTTGAATTACTAGCATTTATGGTCTACAAAACATACTAGACCATTCATGAAATTCTAAATCCAAACGTTAAATTTGGTGAAATTCGAATACATCCCAAAATGTCCCAATATATCGTGTGCATCCCGATTTCGAATACGTCGTTCAACGTCTCAATACATCCCGTCTCGGTTTCGGATACATCACTCAATGTTCCGATACATCGAATACGTCCTGATACATCACGTACGTACAATAATGTATTCCACCGATATTGTGTAAAGTGATGTATCCGAGAGTAGAATTTTTTATAATTTTTTCAAAATGATAGGAATTTTTAGAGAATATGATAAAGTAAGTTGTGTATTTAGATAATTTTTCCTTTAAAAAATTCTAAAATATTTATAAATTAAATTATAATAATTTTTACTAGCATAATAAATTATGATCGAATTCTTTTTTTTCAATATCAAACCAAATCAAATCAATAGTCAATTTTTTTTTCTCAATTAGACTAGAATTTTCAATTTATGAATTTTCTTTGTACACCCACAAAGACATTTAAGAAATGATATGTTTCAACTTTGAAGACAAGTACTCTTCAAAAAAAAAAAGTACTCTTCAAAAATACCCTAGCATTTATCATTTATCAGTATGAAAATTACTCCCTCCGTCCCATTTTATATGATGTACTTTGATTTGGCACAAACTTTAAGAAAAATGGAAAGACTTTTAAAACTTGTGGTCCAAAATGAATGATAGAAATTTGTGTGGTTGTAAATCATTTCATTAAGGGTAAAAAAGACATTTCATAGGCAAATTGTTACTTAAAATAGAAATGTGTCATTCTTTTTGGGACTGACTAAAAAGGAAAGTGAGTCATATAAATTGGGACAGAGGGAGTAATTAATTACTGTAAGCTAAAAATTTGTACGTCCTAATATGAAAAGCATCACCAAAAAGGTTTATGCCATGCATGTTATCGTGTAACAATTGCAGTTTGCTCTTTGCTTAGTAGTTGCCATTATCAAATCTAGTTGAGTGAGATAATCACACAAATCATATTCATCCTTATGTTGTCACATCAAAGTCAATTTTCATAAACAATACTCATCAAGAAACTTATTAAGACCTAAATTGCAAAAGGACAACAAACCACTTGCATGTATTTCATTAATTAACTTTGAAATTTATCACCTCAATAATTCACATTGTACAAGTTGATTTCACCTCTTCCACTATAATATCTCCATCATTGTCATATCATCTTGAGAAAAAGTGTATATAATTATATGGGACAAGAATGAAGATGTTTCTCTTGTTCAATATATGTGCAACATAAATTTTAGAGGAAAGAACTCCATTTTAACAAAATCAAAAAAAGAAAAACATTCAAATTTGCTGATAAACTTTGATGAAATGGTTCAAATTTGTCCTCAATATATATTGAGATCAAATTGTAATGATTCGTATGATCGTTTTATGCTTTAGACTTATTTCTTCAGTGATCCTTTCTATAAATTTCTTTTGTTATTTCTGATTTGTGAAAATGAGTGACAGAATTTTGAGGTTATCGAATGTGTTACGAAGAACATTTTCAATTTTGAAAGTCAGAAATTCAGAAAGTTTGACCAAAGTTGAAATTTTGGATTAACAAGGTCAGCATTTAATGCATGCCTAGGGCTAGACATACTTATTTTTTCTTTTCAAATCCATTATTCATAATTCAATTTTCGGAGCTAGAATTTTGGTGATTTCAAGCTTAAGGGGATTTAATATTGAGTTTTACTTTTACATCCGTTTTTACTAATTTATTAAATGAACTTAATAAGTTGAAAGGTTCTCCTATAGGGTTTGGGGAGGTGTTAGAATTTTTGAATCGTGACACAATATACACATACCTTTACAAGATTGGTTTAAATATGTTCCTATTGATTAACAACAATAACTTTTCAGTACCATGGACTTTCATTACTTAGTAAAAAGGTCAATTATGCCTTTAAACTATGTTGGATCATCCAAATTTGACCTTGAATGTTGAAGAAAGGGATCATTGTTTTGATGGGAACAACATAAACTTCTTCATCACTCAACACCTCAAATGGCAAGGTCTCTATATCCCCAAAACTAAAATTAACCACTCTCAAACCTCAAATCATTCGGAATAAAACTCAAATAATCAACAATTGCACCACAAAGTTTTCATATTTGTCGAAGCAACTCCGTCACCATTCATTAATAGTGATGCCAGAGTTCCACATCAACCTCCTAATATCAAAGCAAACCTTCTAACAGACTATCTAGTTTCTAAATCATTTGCAGTAATATTGTGGTGATCAAAGAAGGGTTACAGCGGTTGAGGGCAGGCTGTGTTAGGACAAGTAAAATAGTAATATGAAAAGATGGTAAATAATGGGGTGAGAGATAGTTTGAATGGGATATTTCATGTGTTCTTTGTGTCATACGAAAAGAACTCATGGTGGTCTTCAAATAATGCTGCTTTTGAGAGTTGAGAGGATCAATTATAATGATGGTAATTGATTTGGAAAGATGATTGATAAGGTTGAGAACAAAAATCTGCACAATTTCATAAAATTCATAGGCAAATCTGACCACTTCACATAATTCAAGGCAAATTTGATAGTTTTCCTTGTACAAAAGTCCTATATGTTGAAAAGCTTCCTCTGTTGGTACATAATGGCGTATTTGAACCAATCCTATAACAAGGGTATATTTGGCCTCAACTACTAACAAATGGCAAGTTTGAACATTTTCCCTTCACAAAATGATCAATCAGGTGTCATTGGCTCAACAATTCACTATGGTAGCTTTGAAAGCAATTGATATATAGCCTCAAACTATAATAAAAACTGCAGTGATGTATGATCACCAAGAATGTTAGACCATTTTCTAACTACTTTACATCAACCGAACTGTTAAACAAGATTTCACAAGTACAATAGATCATGTTAAAACATGAGCAACCAAAAAAACTTATAGAAAATGAACCTCAAACAGAAGATTTGGAACCATCTAGCAGTTCTCTGAGGTCCCATTGGACGAATCCAGTTCTGTCTTGCATCTGTCTTTGAGGTCGGTCAGTGCAACTAAACTACCTTCCTGTAACAGAAAAATGAATACATCATCAGGTTCATACTAACGCTGTTTAATTGAGCTGGGAGGGGGTGGAGAGAGAATTGGGGTTTGCATGAGTGGGAAAGTGTTTGTGCAGAAAGTAAACATGATGCAACTAAGCATCATTTACAGATTAAGTGCTTGCCTGAAGAGCAAGGTCAATGTGGCAAGATCATGACCAACTACTCTAGTTTAACATGGAGTAGCTTCCATCAACTGATATTTGCATTAACAATGGTTCAAAGAAATTAAAAATCAGGAATTAGACAAGGTTTTTATTACTTCACTGCCAAAACATGGCATATTGACATGTCTTAAGCATGCATGTTTCTTTTGAGGGCAAGACCAAATTGTTTAGGGCTATGAATATATACAAATGATGGAGCCAAATAGCAAAAGAACAGAGAATAAGAAACGGAACGGTGAATCAAACATTCAATGGTGAAGTGATACTCATGTATTATAAATGTGATATTTATATAACTTCTTTCAAATTTTTTTCTTCTTTCATTGAATTCATTATATCAATGTATCTAAGAAGCATAAATCAGGGTGGTGACTAAAAGAAAATAAGTAACAAAACATTAATTGAATGGACTTTCTAATATTCTCTCTAGTTGGCAGTTCACAAGTGCAACTACATCTGTAATCACTATTTATTGACAGAACAAAGTTTTCAGAGAAATGGAAAGAACATGATCTCACAAACACTGATATGCTTATTGATGTTCTAACAAGTAATCTCTGGCTACTGGTCCTGACAAACTCCACCAGGACAGTAAATTAACAAAGAGACTGCTATGAATTACAACATGGCTAATATGTCGGGTTGCAACTTGCAAGTAATGTCAATCCCCCATTCCTCCGTGGGGGATTGACAGATTGGGAATGTTCTATTTTTCAGTAAAGAGGTAAAGAGACACTTACTGCTTCCTGTCTATTAGTAACAAGACAACATGATTTTCAAATTGAATATTGAACTTAGATAAAACATTTGCTCTGCACATTTGTCAAAATTTGAAGATTACTTTTTGAGAAAGAAAAAAAAACCTCCAAACTTACGCAAATGTTTGAAGATTACTAAAAGATAACAATCTTCTAATTTATGAACCATGTGCCCATCAAAAGGCAAAACATTTGCTCTGCCCATTTGTCAAAGTTTGAAGATTTACTTTTTGAGAATGAAAAAAAAATCTTCAAACTTTGGCGAATACTTGAAGATTACTAAAAGATAGCAATCTTCTAATATATGAACAACGTTCCCATCAAAAGGCATACTGATGGAACAAGTATGTGTCCTCGACGTGAATGATCCATCTAGTATAAAAATACAATGCACCACACCAAAAGCTCTAACAATGGGAGTTAACTTTGATAAAGAAGAATCTTTCAGCTTGATGGTCAACAGAGAACATTCATCAGCTTGACAGCTTCACAACTCTCAGTTATTATATGTAAAAGTTGAATTGAGTATCTATACCAACTCAGAGACTGAACAGGTCAGTTAGCAAACTTACTAGCTGGTCAGCTTCCCGTTGAAAAATGTGCTCCATGTGTTGAAAGAGTGACTTCCAGTGACCCATTAAACTTGACTCAAGATTTGCTGCTTCAGTATTCTTTTCTGGACCCTCCTTCTGAAGCTCTTTACCCTTGCCACTTCTTTCAACTAAAAGACTTGCTTCTCTCTGACTCTTCTTTATGGCTAGGTATTTGAAAACAGTATTTGAGTAAAGAAAAGAAGCAAGGAGAAAAAGAACAAGGATCTTAAGTTTAATTAAGTAACTAAAATATTTTTAAGCTGACTCACCACTTATCCGACCCTTGGTATCCTGGTAATGTAGGTCTAACCATATATAAGCAGCTGATTATCACAGAACAAAGAAAACTAAATCAACACTCCACTAATATGAACTGAAACAAGACGGGATATAAGCTCAGAAGGACATTAATCAATATAATGGTCTGCGAGATATTTTTACCTTTGGTGCAAAAGGTACAAGAGCAAGCTTTGATTGACTCAATGCTAGCACTTAAACCTGAATTATCCTCACAAGTTTGTGTTCCTGTACATGTCTCAAGTTTAACTCTTGACTCCTGTGAATCTGGCAATCTTGCCAAGTCTACTGACCCAGACTGACTCATAACCAGATTATCAAGACCAAGTTCATCGGGGCCATTAGGAAACATATCCTCACTTTCAGTGCCCTCACTATCGTCGTTAATTTCACAACTCCGGGCAGCATCATGGTCATCAGTTCCGGACAATGCTGGCACTGGCACCCCAGTTACCAAACCATCCATATCATTTATAACTTCAGAATTTTTCTTTGGAATTATTTCCCGATCATTGACAATTTCAATAGCACTCCCACAAGCATCATTGTTCTCGTTGTTATCTCCGATTGTACTTTGGCAGATAGCAGTAGCTGAATCAACTCGCAACAAACTGGGATCCTGGTTGTCATTTGGTATATTTGAAATCCCTGATACAACATCTACCTTTGATGACTTAATCTTGCTACAAGGCCGAGGACCAACACAAACACGTTTTGCATTATCTCCATCATCTACCAAAACAACTTTAACCCCTAGATTTTCATTTCCCTTATCTACACACTTTAGACTTGAATTCCCCAAAAGTGCAGAAAATGGTCTCTTGTTTCCAAGCTGATTCGTTATATTTCCCAAAACAGGACGACTTTTAGGACACCTTTCAACAGCATTATCTTCATCCATCCTGCAATCACTAATCCAACATGAACCCTACCAACAAAAATCAATATTTAGCCCTAAAACACATAGATTTCCATGACCCAATTCTCAAATCTACTACAGTTGATGAAAAAATCTTATATTTGATACAGACCAACAATAAAAATGAAAACTTGATCACCTTAACACATCTAATCAATACTAATCACAGAAGCAGTAGCTACTGTACAAATTAAAACCCTAGAGAAAATTTGGGCAAATAACAAAACTCAGAAGAAGAACAAAATTAACAAACTTTAATTGAAATTATAATGTACCAATCATCAATCAGGTTCTTGGATACTAACCTTGAGAAAAGGATTTAACACAAAATCCAGAAAGATTGATAGAACCCAATGTACAGTGTTGAAATAAAAAATTGAATCTTGAATTATATTAAAGCATCTCCATTGATAAAGGTGGGTTCTTTTTCTCTTTGGTTACAGTGGATTTGCTACACAGAAATGAAAATGGTGGAAGTAAAAATTAAGTTTCAGCAAATTTGTGGGGCGGGAAATCGAATTTTGGTAAAATTAAGGGTCTTTAAGTTTTTGGCCCGCCTTGTATGTTCAAAACCTATTAACAATGGGCGCGACTTTCTTACTTGGAGGGAAAATGATTGGGCCATTATTATAGTATAGCCCACATTATATGGGCTGGAAATTCAATTGAATCATATAGCTGAATTCATAGCATAAAATGGACCTAACTTACCACTATTTGTTGAGAGTTCGGCAACATGTATTATATTAGGGCAAACTACATCAATCCCACTACATTAGATCCTAATTGCTATGATTTTCGATAGTTTCAAATATGAGTTTATTTATCATATTTCATGCTTAGAATACATGACTCTGAATCCACGAGATACGTGTATCTGTCAAAATTTTAAACCGAGATACATATTTTATTTGTTTAAATTAATTGGTTGTAATTGATTTCCTTAATTAGAGGAGTAATTGAGGATTTTCATGATACGTGAACAGTTAATTCTGAAAATTTAAATTAATCAAATTTCTTAATATAAGGCGGAAATCAAAGAGTGTATCTATGTTTAATTAATTTCATTTTATTATTCTTTGAAATAATAAATTCATTAATAGAACTGTTTAGTATTAATTTTGTGTATTTGTTATCTGTATATTGTATTAATTTGATGTATCTAGTATCAATTTCATACGTTATATCCAAAAACATGTATCTCGAATACACAGTAAGCATATACATCTAATTATGTGTATCTATATATGAAAAATAATTGAAACACATGAATTTAGGAACAAATCACAACTGCAAGTATTTGTTGTATCATTAATCCAAAAAAGGTAGAAAAATTCAAAATTCTTCCTTTTTTTTAGCATCTGAAATTGTTTTCTCATAGATGTATAGTATCATATGTTGCTCATTGTGCTTAGATCCGACGGACATCCGTCAGATCCATCAAAATTTCCACTTTTTCGTCCCTCCTACTAATGAAGATTTGAAGAAGGCCCTCAAGTAACGGAGATAAATTTGAGTCAACTGGAGAAGGGAACTGTTAGAGAGAAACCATGACTATAATTTGGCAAGAAAAAAATACAAATAAACAACTAGGACATAGCATAAATTTCCATTAAAGTCATCCTCTTTGCGGTAAATTATATGAACTATACTTGATTCTTAGGAGTAAAATGGTTGATTATTCGCTTATTAGTGGAGGGAGAGATGCTGATAAGGTTGGAGATTGAGGGAAGTTGATAAGAGAGAAAAATATTTGAATGTTATTAAAATGTTAATTGTGGAATTTAAATAGAAAGATAATTAATCAATCCTTATTTTAAGGGATGAGTATCTAATTGTATCTTCAATAATATAAGGTATAAAATACTAAAAGTAGTAATATATGTAATTGTTTGATAGTCGATGTAAGATTAGTATATATGGTAGTGATGTATGTCTAATAAGGTAGTTTAATTTATCCTTATATTACAGACTTAATTGGCATAAAATAGTCTTACTTTGTAATGTTTGCATTATATATTTATAGATAAACTACATAAGTAGACATACTTCATTATCATATATTTTATTATTGACTATTTTTTTTTAAATATTACGTGTCTTACCATTAATTAAGAGTTTCCTATCATACATTGAGGAATATACATTTAGAAACATGTTTTTTGCTACCAGATATACTAAAATATGAAGGGAAGCGGGCAAGATTTCGTTATGTGTCCCAAATATATGTGAATCACATTAGATACATATATTTATATGTATCTGGTGTGATTCGCATGTATCTGAGATACCATATACATAGAAGAGTGGTGAAGAGGGGCGAGGGAGATGAGTGAAATTTGTTATATACGCAATGATTTATTAGTTTAATCATATGAGTATTAATTATGTATATCAAAATACATAAATATATCGCACAATATTTACAATGTATTTGGTCATAGTTGAATAATATAAATACAGTGAGAGACCTCTTTGAGGTGAATTGTTGCACTTATGTACTGATAAATTATATTTGATTAGCTACAATACATTATCTTGATATTTAATTGTTATACTGTTTATTCTCTAAAAAACATATTATAATAATAGTAATAAGGTATTGACAATGTGTCTGGTGGCACACTTGTTAATTGTTACTTGTCATTTCATTTGTATACAAACTGTCATAAGATGAAATAAAAATAAACGTGTGTCCTATTAATTTTTAAGTACGTTTAATACAACTTCAGGAAAAAATATTTTACTCAGTATGATTTTAAGGACTGAATACAATATTGAATATAATATGCCATTATTCTTAGGCTAAAATTGCTAAACAAAATATTGGGTAAAAAATATGTCAATTTTACGTTAGTTCTTCAAATTTTGATTTTTCAGTAGTATGTATCAATTTCTAAGTCTACTCCTTCAGTATGCACCTAATGAAATGGGCTATTTTTTTAATTCAGAATAAGTTATTTTAAATTTGTGTTTTAAAGTTTAATCCAAAATAGGCCTGATTTCATGCTTTTTGAAGTTTAATCTTTTTATCACCAATGAAACTAAATTGAGTGATCAACTCTTTGAAATTCTTTGTTGATTAAGTCAATTTTTTATTTATTAAAATAAAATTCAGTTTGCCAGTCTTTTATACAAAAAAAATATTAAATTGAATGGTAAATAAACCTTTACAATCTGTGTAAATGATTAAGGAAACTTAACAATAATGTTGTTAGTGTAAGTGTGCAGAAACACGATATGCAACAATATGAATTGTATAAAAACACCTTATAGAGCCTCCTTAGTGTTAGAAATCTACCAATGAATTTTAATTTTAATTTTTAATTTTACTATTTCTTTTAGCAATATGAATTGTATAAAAAACACCTCATTAGTAAATAAATAATTTTAGTTTACTATTTTTTTAGAAGAAAATAAAATTAAAATTTTATCACCAAAATGATCACTCAATTCAAACTTGTAACCTCATAGGTAAAAGAAACAATTCATATATGTTTTAAACTACTTAATTGAGAGTTTAATTAATATAAATTCTTAATATATTTTTTTTATACTATTATATCTAGGGGTGTGCAAAAATCGAATCGATAAAAGTGTTATTGGTTTATTGTTATTGGGTTATTAGATTAACGGGTTTTTCATGGTTTTATAAAAAAATATTGGGTTATCGGTTCGGTATTGATTTTTTAATATTGGGTTATTCGGTAAACCGATAACCCATTAAGATAGACTAGTAATTTACTACTTTTATTTGTACATAAATATTATATATTAATCTCAATACCTTAATTGTTAGAGTACTATCTTTGTCCTTTAGCCTTCAATTCACACTTCACAGTGACTTCGAGATCACAATTTCACATTATATAATAAATGTTAAAATCTAAAATAAGAACCTTATTCCTCTTAATTTCTCTTTGTATTACGCTTGTATAGTTCTTTTCATGTATGTTACTATTGTTTCTATTTTAGGAGCATTTGTAAAGTTACATTATTGTGTTTTCGCATCAAATTTATTAGAAAAGTCATATATTTGTTTTATAAGTATTTTCTTATTGGTTAAACCGAAAACCGAACCGTTAAGGACCAAAACCGATAAACCAAAAATCGATAAAAAATATCTTATTGATTTGGTTATTGGTTTAACATATTTTAAAACTAATAAACCGAACCGAACCGACCGATGCACACCCCTAAATTTATATCATTTAAAAGATATTTATAAATAAATATTTAATTTATAATCTCAAAAAATGGGTCAATCATCTATTATAGTTATGATATAATATTGTAAAATACCTGGTATAATAGATAATAAATACTCCTTCCGTCCAACAATAGTTGTCGACTATACTATTTTGGGATGTCCAACAATACTTGTCCACTTTATGAAATCAATGGATAATTTTACACTAAATTCCTAATTTACTCTTATCATTAATTATTGTCATTTCCCTTTTACATTTTTCAAAATATTGTATTTATTATATTCAAAGGGTGATATAGTAAAATAACCATTTTATTTATAGTTTCTTAACAAATCAATAAGTAAGTATTGTTGGACAGGGGATCGGAGTATGAAGTAATATACAAATTAAAAATAAATGATCATAAAAAATACAAAGCAAAAAATAATAAAGAATTTTAGTGTAACATCAAATTGATCAAATAGTGGTATCACATATGAGCGCACATTATATTCCGCATCTCAATAACTCAAAACAAGAATGATGTGTTTGCACAATTTATTTTTAGGGAGAAATAGAGAAGTATTTTTTTAATTTGTTGACTCATTCATCCTTTCTTATTCACTTTATCTCCAAGACAAACTTCAGGGTTCAATAATGGTAGAAATTAGGGATACCAACTCATGTTATTTTCATGCTTGCCTCAAGAACATGATCGTCCAAAATTACATTAACAAATTTTCTATTGTCAGTGGAGATATAATGCACACTCAAAAAGATAATTATGTTAGAAAAAATTATATCTCTTATTTTATTTGAAAGAGAATATTATTTTATGTCCTAAATTATTTATTCCTTAAATAGCCTTAATTAGTTATTACTCCAAATAAATTATTAATGGCTCTATTACAATTATGACATAGACTTTATTCTTCATGATGATAATGAGTCATCAATTCTTTACCATTTTTGGATTATAATCCATTGGTCTCAACGCATTAGAAGGTGAAGTGCTTTTTTTTTATCTATAAATATAGAAGTCTTTTCCTATTGAAAAAGATAAGTGAGAACATGCCAAAAGAAATTATGCTCCTTCTTAAATTTTATTGCTAAGTTTTCTTTGGATTAAATTTTTGTCAGTTTTTGTGCTCCTAATTTTATATTATGAAAATTTCCTATAATATTCCTAAAGAAGTATTTTCCGTAAGACTTTCAACAAATTAAAAATATGTTATTAAATTTTGTAAGAAACTACTACATATAAGTGTAAATTTACCGTCAACAATCCTACCTAGTGTCCTAGATGCTTGTTGTAACATCCGTAACTTTTAGAAAAGGTTCGAATCATTTTCCATATGCAT